AGTTAGACCAACGGTCAGGGAACTTTTTCTGTAAAGAACCGGATAGTAAATATCTAAGGCTCTGTGGCACAGACTCGACTCTGCCATTTATGTGCAAAAACCACCATGACAGTAGGTCAGCAGGTGACTCCTCTCACCATCCTGACCATTATAGTCATGTGTGTAAGATGAATCCTTTAAACTCCGTACCCCAGGCATGGCCTGACCATGGTGGGGTAGAACACTATTACTTACCTTGATTGGCAAGATTTAAAATATTTAAAAAGTAATAAAGCCCATTTTTTACACGTGTTATTATTGATAAGGCATGACGTCCTCGCTACCTTACATGTGTACAATTAGTGGGGCTTGTGTCTAATCAAAGTACACAATCTTACAAACAGCATAATTCAGTTTCTGGCTATAGCACATTGAAACAGAGTGGGTCAGATTCCCTCCTTTCTTTACTCCCAGTGTCTTTATGGGCCTGTTTATTTCCCTCTCAGAGCCTCTGTTTCTGCTTAATAAAGTGAGATAATGACACCTCTCCTGCAGTTACTATGAAGATGAAGTGAGATGCTGGATGTGAATGCTTCTAGGACAGTGGGTGACACGTTCAGTAAACATTTGTCCTGTTTGTTCCCTCCTTTCCTTCCTTTCCTCAGTTCTTCCACCAATTGGGTCAGGATGCCCTTTCTGTTTTGAAGCCATTGATAAAAGCAGCAACCAAATCAGGGGCACCCACAGCCCTGCAATACACCACCAGATGCCTCCCTGAAAACTAAAACCAGATCTCTTAATACCCTGTAAACATGATTTGTCAACCACTTACAACTGCACCTAAGTATCAGTGATCCCAGCCCATGTCTTCCATTAAGCAAAAACAGTGAACGGTTACTGAGTGTCTGCTTCGTGCCACACGTGGTGCTGGGCACCTACTACAAACATGAATTAGACGTGGTCCCTGCCCCTCAAGGAGGCCACAGTGTGGTTGGGGAAGGGAAGCTAGTAAGCAAACAGATGTTCACAATTTTCAGTGTCGTGGAATCCCTCAAGAACATAGGCAACGTGTTGCCTGAGACAATTATTAAACGGTAAATAGAAATTAAGTTGAAAGTGGGATGGGAGCGCATTCTATGCCAAGAGTGTGCAGTGCATTGCTGTGTGTGACCAAGGGGTAAATTATATGGGGACAGAGGCTGGTTTCACAATAATGTGGGTCAAGTTGTGCAAGGCATTGGGTGTCATGCTGGGTTTAACTGACTGCTTCTGGGTTTTCACTTTGCTTCAGCAGTGAGACCTTCTGCGTAGAGCACACCTTCTAAGTGACAACTCTGCTGTATAAAACCAGCGTTCCTAAGACTGATGTTCAGCTGTGTGCTCCCCTTCCCGCCCACAAGCACCAGGGTGGAGGCCAGATGTAATTAGGAGCTACATTTCAGTTGATCTAGCTCTTTGCCTTGAATAGTGTAGCTCCTGATGGGTTCACTGGATTTTCCATTTGTGTCACCCTTGAAGCACTGGTTTTGTAGATGGGGCAGGCATTCAGAGTTCTAACAGATGGAACTAGACCTGAGTATTAGAAAGTTGCTCCGACAAGAGTGTGGAAAATAAACTGAAACTGGGAGTGTTTTGAAACCACTTGGAAGGCTACTGCTATAAATAACAAGTGAGGGTCTCACTAAGGGCATGGCCAGTGGGACCCTTCACATGCACCAGCCCTACAGAAAAGGTGTGATTTCCCCAAAGCCACAGTTGAGGAAACTGAGGCTCTGAGAGGTTACATAATTTGACCAATCATAAGTGGCAAAATTTAGACTCGAATTTGTACCCTAGCTCCTCGATCTTGATCTGAGGTCGCATAGTAACTCTCCCATGCTCCTCCGCAGCTAGCTCTTCGCTCTCACCTGCCTTCCTTGCTCTCCTGTGCTTCTCCAGAGTCACCAGCTAGACTGTCTTGCCTGGGTGTTTGTCTTCCTTCCCCTCAGAGGTGGCAGTCGGTGGATATTCATGAATAGAATATGGTAAAGCCCTTCTGGTGGATTCACCTAGCTTCCTGGAAAAGACCTTGCTCACCCTTACGGGAAAGTGACATTCTATCCCATGCTGGAGGCGCACTTCAGGAAGGTGCCCTTGTTGGCCAGGCGAGGTCCCAGCTGTTTCTGTAGCGCCCCCAACAGGCAGTCACTGATCGCCAGGACTGATCCCTGTTTCGCAGGGCCGGCGGGTAGCATGATACCTAGCACCCGCCTGAGCGACGGGGATCAGCCTCCAATCCCATCCAACAAAGAGTCTCACGCTTCCCACGTGTCTTTGGGGGAAGAGAAACCACAGCGTCCTGTGTATCGCAGCTGCCTGGAAGGCTGTGTTTTTTGTCTTCCTTTGCACAATATTTCTCCTCTCTCCATTCTCTTGAGACAGTTTGGAGCCCTTTGCCCTAAGGAACACGTACCTTAATGTTTCCACCTTTTCCCCCACCAAACATGAATGTCTATCGGCTGCTTTCCATCCCTCGAATCTAATATTCCCAGCTCTGTGTCTCTGTAGGAGCCATTGTTAATTAACCTGTAGATCAGGGAGAGGAGAAGGCAGGGGTGCGGCAAAACATGAGCCACGGGATTACATTTCTGCCTCTTCTGTCCCTACTGCCTTTAATACCCAGTGTAGAGTCCCAAGCAGAACTGGAACGCGGTGCGTGTTGTGGCCTGACTGGGGGGCCGAGGGGACGGCGTCCTGTGAGGTGGGGCACTGACTCCCCCAGTTGGTCTCTTTTTAGTCAATTCTTATATTTGTCACCCAGAAACCATCTACCATGTTCTCTACCTTCCTGCTCTCATGACCATTTGTACTTAACTAGGTGGGACATGAACCCCATTAGCTGCTCATGTCTAATAAGTTGCTGCATTTCTGTAAATATTTGATTTAATCCTAGTAGTTGAAGGGCTTTCTTTTTTTTAGTTTATTGAATTCATTGCCTTGAACACCATAACTCATAATGTGTTAACTAGATTTTCCATCTGTGTCACTGAAGAGTTATGCAAAAAATACAAAGAGTGCCCGGCCGGGCGTGGCTCAGCGGTTGAGCATCGACCGAGGATCCAGGAAATGTCGGTTCGATTCCCGGTCAGGGCACATGCCAGGTTTCGGGCTTGATCCCTAGCACGGGGCGTGCGGGAGGCAGCCGATCAATGACTCTCATCATTGATGTTTCTCTCTCTCCCTTTCCCTTCCTCTCTGAAATCAATAAAAATGTATATTTTAAGAAAAAATACAAAGAGCAAAACAGCGCTTTGGAAACAATGGAAGGAAGTTAATTGAATTTAAATTAGACATAGCAATAATTTAAAGCATAATTGAAAGTTTCAGAGGAGACTATCATGCATTCGTATGTCATGAATAAGATTTTTCTTTTGTATAAAATATTTTAATGTGGATTTATTGATATATAGTATATCCTCATACTCCATTATTTTATGAATATCGGACACTTTTGGATGATAAATGCACTGAATTTTTTTTTTAATATAACTTTATTGATTTCAGAGAGAGGAAGGGAGAGGGAGAGATAGAAACATCAATGATAAGAGAATCATTGATCGGCTGCCTCCTGCATGGCCCCCACCGGGGATCAAGCCCACAACCAGGGCATGTGCCCTGACCGGGAATTGAACTGTGATCTCCTGGATCATAGGTTGATGCTCAACTGCTGATCCACGCCCAGCCGGGCAATGCATTGAATTTTCTATGTTCAGAAATTCCTTAAATGAAAGATATAAATCCCATTTCCAGTTAATCTGAAAAAGAATTATAAAATTTAATTGTATGTCTCTGGCCAATTATTCTTGCTGGGCTTCATTCAGAGTCTGTCACTAAAAGGATTCTAAATTAAGGAGCCTAAGATGGAGTCAATTAAGAAAATAACTACTTTTTAATTTTCGATGTTATGCATTTCCTAATTTTCCTACAATGAACTTATATGGCTTCTATATATGAAGCAAATCATTTTTAATTAAAAAATATATTTTATCTGAGTTGGTTCAATTTAAAAGGGAAAACCAAGAGTATCAATACCATTGCTTCCTGGAAAATTGACTTACCCGTGGGTGCTTAGGGTATGACATCATCCTTGGGAGAGAACTTTCTCTGAATCATACTTGACCATGTCCACCCTGATGTTCACAAATAGGTTGCCAGCCTTGTGGTCCCACCTCTTCTCTTTCCCTGAATCTCCACGCATGAAGTTCCAGTCTGTCCCACATTCAACCCCTACCGCTCACGCTGGGTAGCTTTGAAAGCTAGAACTTCATGCATTATCTCTTCTGTGGATCTCTAGCTTCTCCATCAAATTAATCCTTTTACTCCAGTGAGATATGGCAAAGGAACTTTCCTTTCACACTTGGAGGTATGGATCTTAACCAGAAATACTTGTGGAATGAAATTTTTTTCAATTTTGTGTTTTTATTTTCTTAATTGTAAATACTTAGGACAAAAAAATTACCATTTTAACCATTTTAAGGTGTATAGTTCAGTGGCAATAAGTACATTCACATTGCTGTGCTAGCATCACCACCATCCACCCACAGGAAACTAGAATTTTTTTTTATATATTTTTTGAGGGAGGAAGGGAGAGGGAGAGAGACACAGAAACATCAATGAGAAGCATCATCGATCGGCTGCTTCCTGCATGGCCCAGCGCCTACTAGGGATCGAGCCTGCAACCCAGGCATGTGCCCTGACCAGGAATCCAACCATGACCTCCTGGCTCATGGGATGACACTCAACCACTGAGCAACACCAGCTGGTAGGGAATTAGAATTCCTATATCCTATTCCATGCTGCTACCACCATCAGAAAAGTCTGCTGTGATCCAGTGTTTAGCTGTAAGATGAGAAACGAGGCTTCAGTTGCCCCGGAGACCCTTCATCCCTTAGGACCGGACAACTGAGTCTGAAGAGGGTTCTGATGCGTTTCCATGACGTTAGCCAGAGTGACTGTCTTCTTTCCTTTTTCTCTTTGAACAGCTCCGAGCAGCGGGTCCCCTGTCCCACCTCTTACCACAGCTCTGGTTTGCACTCGGGTGACGGTGTCACAAAAGCAGGACCTCTGGGCCTTCCAGAAATAAGACAAGTGCCAACTGTTGTGATTGATTGTGATGACAATAAGGAAAACGTGCCTCATGAATCGGACTATGAAGACTCTTCCTGCCTCTACTCGGGGGAGGAAGAAGAGGAAGACGACAGCTCTCTGTACACCAGTGCGTGCACCCAGCTCCTCGCGGGGGCAGGGGCGGGGGCGGGGTGGGGCGCTTGGAAACAGCGCTGCCCAGCTGCCCGGCCCTCTTCCAACTCGGGGCCTGGTGTCCGCTGGCCCTGGGCCACCGAGCAGCTCAATTAGCCTCTTAGGGCCTCAGTTCCTTCCTTAGTAAAGCGAAAGGATCGACGTCCCCATAACATCCCCATAGCTCTAAAACTTACATCGGGCTGCCACCTGCTGCGTCTTAGACGGCTCTCCCTTTCTTTGATGGCTTCCCTTGGGGTGCAGCCCCCTCCCTCAAAAAAGGGGGCATGGACCTGAAAATTTATTTCCAATCTGCACGCTGCTCAGATAGACTCACCAGTGTGTATGCAGCAAATGCATTTTAAGCAGGCCTAAATTCACTCAGGTTAGAGGGCCTGAATTTAAATTTCTTATTTAAGGCCTCAAATGTGCTACGGGAGAAGGAACAAAGACAGCAAGTTCAAAATCTGTCTTTCTGGCCGTGAATGATCAGCACATTAGTTAAGTGATTAGAGACTGCTTTTCGGTTGACATTTTAATAAATGAATTTATAGCAACTTTTCACTGAATATATACCGTGCCTGCTACATGCTAAGATTTTTACTCTGTTATGTACATCTTACAACACCCGGTGGCATACACACTGCTGCTCCATTTTACAGAGGAGGGGAGAAAAGGGAGAGGCAGGTGACTTGCCCAGAGCCTCACATCCACTCAGGGACAGTACTAGGGTTTGATGCCACTGTGTCTCATTCCAAAGCCCATGTTGTGAAACTGGTGAGGAAGAAAGGGGACTAGCCTACAAAAAAAATCCAGAGGAGTCCCCCAAACTCGCTGCTTCCCAGCCTCCTCCCCCTGCATGGTAAGAGTCGTGGTGGGCAATGACATGATCAAGATAATGAGGAGAGGAGCACGGAAGGGCAGCCAGAGGCCCAAATGACCCCGTAGTGGAAGGAGCAGCTGCTCAGCCCGTTTCCTGCCCAGAGAATTAAATGTTTTACACCAGCATTCCTCAGCCTCAGCACTGTTGACATGTTGGACCAGTTAAGTCTTCGTTGTGGGCCTGTCCTGGGCACTACGGGATATCTAATAGCATCCCCACCTCTGCCCACTAGATACCAGGAGCACTCCCCGAGCCCCAGTTTTGACAACCAAAATATGCTCTAGACTTTGCCAAGTGTCCCCTGGGGGGCAAGATCACCCCTGGTTGAGAACCATGGATTTATTCCGGATGGAAGGAAGCCTTGCCGTGGCTGCCTGCTCGGAGCCCCTTACGTTGAAAAGAAAAGCAGTCCCAGGATATTGTCCATTTTAATGAGTTTACTTCTACTTCCACCCCACTTTGTCTGCCCAGCTTTATTTTCCTTTGCATCCCCCCTGGCTCCACAGTCACTGATCTCTTTTGTCTCCTGTGATTACCTGGCCTGCCTGTATCCTCTGAGCTTTCCCACATGCGGATGCCACCCGCCTGCTGCCTGGGCACATCTCGTTTGTCCTGCAGGTGCCAGTCCCTCCTGCTCCGTGAAGCTTCCTGTAGTTACTAAAGGCCCTCTTCTTTCTCCCCGCTTTGCACGCTAGTCTGTCCCTCCTTTACGATGCTGCTGCATGCTGGAAACCCCTGGAGAGCCACGATCCCATCACAGGCTCCCCATGGGCTCCTCACATGCTCAGCACTGCTAGGTGTGAACGCGTTGCTTGCAGGAACTATGGAAGTGTCCTTTGGGGCCTTAACCACTCTCAAATGTTAAGCCCGCTTCTTCCTGACCTTTACCTTGTGGCCCACGGTGGGTCCGGTGGGAGCCAGGGCAGGCGTGTGTCAGCGTCATTAACTCGCTTGTCCCTTCTGCAGGCTCCCTGGCCATGAAGGTGTGCAGGAAGGACTCCTTAGCCATCAAACTCAGCAACAGGCCCTCCAAGCGAGAGCTGGAAGAAAAGAACATCCTTCCCAGGCAGACGGATGAAGAGAGACTGGAGCTGAGGCAGCAGATCGGCACCAAGCTCACCAGGTAGGACCACAGGACCACCAGCTCTGCAGGTTTGGGTGAAAGGCGTCAGTCTCCATCCCCACATCAGTCCTGGGTATCTCTTGAAGAGCTTACTGCAAAAATAGTCCATGGAAAACATTCTATTTCTTCTCCAGGGTTGTATCTATGGTCTCCTCNATTCTCCAGGGTGGCTTCTACGGTCTCCTCCCCTTCACTCATTCAAATCTGGGAAATTTCACTTGATTAGAAGTTCAGGGAGAAGCTGAGAGGCAGGTTTCCAGGAGAAGAACCTCCTGTAGAAAAATCTCCACCATGCAGTAGATTTGAGGGCCTCTATACGTGGGAGTTGGGGTTTGGTTGAGCACAAAGCAATCTAACAAATGCACTTTCGTCTGTACTGTGCAGCCAGAAGACATCAATGGCTGTTAATGATGCCTCATCTCTAAACTGTGACTCTTGGGTGACTGCCCTTTGTGTACGGGTATTACGGACATAAGCACGGAGTGTGTTATTTAACATACTACGCACATGTGTGTATTTGTAATCTAGAACATGTTTATGTGGAATTAGCTTACATTGTGGAGCGCTGATTATTTGCCAGGCATCCTTCTAAACGTTTTACATGCATTAAATCACTTAATCTTCGAGGCTCCCCATGAAATGGACATTTGTGCCCACTTTACAGATGATCTCTAACAGAATGGCAGCGGAGTGCCCCCTCGCGACTACTTTGTTACTCTGCCTCTGTGATAATAGTCNTTCGAGGCTCTCCATGAAATGGACATTTGTGCCCACTTTACAGATGATCTCTAACAGAATGGCAGCGGAGTGCCCCCTCGCGACTACTTTGTTACTCTGCCTCTGTGATAATAGTCNGTCGAGGCTCCCCATGAAATGGACATTTGTGCCCACTTTACAGATGAGAACACCAGGCGTAGAGAACTTTAGACCCTGTATGATCTCTAAGAGAATGGCAGTGGAGTGCCCCCTCGCGACTACTTTGTTACTCTGCCTCTGTGATAATAGTCATCGCATGAGCTCCATCCACCGTGTCCCAGGCACTGTGCTAAGTGTTTGGGTGCAACACATAGGCATCTNGTAGACATCTCCTGGGTTTCTACCTCCTCTCCCTCTTCCAAGCTGTGCAGCCTTGAGTAACTCACTCTCTTTGCCCGCGTTTCTGTATTTGTAAAATGTGCAGTTGTAAAATTAAGTAATACAAGTGAAGCATTNATAGGCATCTCCTGGGTTTCCACCTCTTCTCCCTCTTCCAAGCTGTGCAGCCTTGAGTAACTCGCTCTCTTTGCCTCATTTCTGTATTTGTAAAATGTGCAGTTGTAAAATTAAGTAATACAAGTGAAGCATTTAAAATAGTCCCTAGTCCATAGTAAATACTCAGTTACCTGTTATTATTTCATTTTCTTTCTCCCAGCAACCCCATCGGTAGCTTTCACTACCATCTTCACAAGTANAGCATTGAAAATAGTCCCTAGTCCATAGTAAACACTCAGTTACCTGTTATTATTTCATTTTCTTTCTCCCAGCAACCCCATCGGTAGCTTTCACTACCATCTTCACAAGTACAAGTGAGGTAACTGGTACCTGAAGAGGTTACAGAGGCCCAGGTGCCCCCCAACAGCGCTGGGGTTCTTCCCTCCCACCTGATTTATTTTATTACTTAAGGGCAGCTTCTTTCTCATAAATAACTTGGTTTCCTCCTGGAGGGTGTCATTTTAATCTTACAGAGCTGTGTAAAATGGTTAACACTTTCTTCAGCCTTTGGAATCATGGAATGAAAATATCTAACCACCGACTCCTCCTGCCCCCCTTTCCCTTCTGTCAATAATCCGTCAGTGACAGTCACTCCCAGCCCTCTGGAGAGCCAGTCCCATTGTTGCAGAGCCTGATGGTTAAACATCCTTCCTTCTATTGACCTGANAGGTCGTTTTAATCTTACAGAGCTGTGTAAAATGGTTAACGCTTTCTTCAGCCTTTAGAATCATGGAATGAAAATATCTAACCGCCGACTCCCCCTGCCCCCCTTTCCCGTCTGTCAGTAATCCGTCAGTGACAGTCACTCCCAGCCCTCTGGAGAGCCAGTCCCATTGTTGCAGAGCCTGATGGTTAAACATCCTTCCTTCTATTGACCTGAACCCTCTGTCCATGCAGCTCCCACCCATGGGTCTTATTCTTTTTTTTCTGCAGCTATGCAAAGCCTCATGCCTCTTAACATGCCTACTTTAGGGTTTTGGAGACAATGATCTGGCCTCCCCAAGTCTCCTCTCCTAGGCTGCATGTAGCCAGGTTCTCTCTCTGAAGTGAGTGGATACAGTGCTGGGCTGATTCCTGACCAGCTTGTTCAGTTTTATACTAATATAAATAGGGCTGGGGTGGTTTTTTTGGGGGGAAGTATAGGAAAAAGAAGGAGCAGATCCTTGATCCCAGCCCCTCTTCTCAAAGAGTGGGCATCCTTAATCGTATTTCTGTGAGTGTGGGCACCCTTTATTGTATTTCTCTGCCCTCACTTCTCATTTCCCAACTTTGCTACAGGACAAGCAGAGCCCCGGGCATATGGGAAATGGAATACTTTTCTGCAGATGTGAGATGCCAGCACATCTGGCTGCCCAAGTTGGCATCTTCTGTGGACAGAGAGAAAGATGAGAGACAGAGAAAGCAGATGTGTGTGGCTGGTGCAGATGTACGTGGCTGGCCATTCGGCTTGACCACTGCAGAACCATTCCACCTGGAGGTAACTGACAAAAAGGCCATTGTTGTCCCAGAACATACTCCCAAAGAGAGAGACGGCTGCCAACTTCTCCTGCCTGAAGCCATATCCACGTATGTCAACCGTGATTGGCTGGCAGTGGTGGTGACAAAACCCAAGAGGTGGGAAGAGACACAGAGCATCCATGCACTGAAAAAGTTTTCTTCGTTCAAAGCTTTATCCTTACAAATCAACCCCTTCCTGACCCTTCCTCTTCTAACAACACTTCAGTACTTCTTAGAATTCATGAATTCCGCTAAAGGTTTACCATAGCACGCATCCATCCCAGCCCTCTTGCCCTGGTCGTGAGAAGGAGAGGCAGTGAGGAGGGGGAGAGAGAGAAGTATGGAGGGGAGTGTGGGGCATGGCAAGGTGTCGAGCTGGCTGCATCCTTGCTCTAAGTCACTCATCTATGCACACACTTTCTCCTAGGGAGTTTATTTCCTGTATCAAGACCCTTGGCATCTCTTGACAGATTATAGGAACTGGGCCTAAAGGAGAGGACATTAGGAGTGTTTCACAGGTTGATAAGATTGTACAGAGTTCAGAAAATCAGGTGGATTGGCCAAATCTGCGCCACAAGGTCTTTGAGGATGTGCAGCCACCGACTCACACCCAAGGGGCTTACTCATTTATCCAGAAGCCAGAGCTGATGAAGGGGAGAGCTGAGACCCAGAGGTGAGGGTGATACAGAGAAAACTAGTTCTTGGTCAGGACCCTGAGCTCTAGCCCTAGGCCTTCATTTCCCAATCCAAGGGGCTTAGATTAAATCACCTGATCACTATGTGCAAAAAGTGAGCTTCATTATGGTAAAAAGTAACTAAAAGAACGTGGGACTCTGTTGTCAAGTTTGCATTTTTGAAGCTACAAGGCTGTGAAATTCTTTGGCCATTTGAGGTAGCGAAAATGTGCTGGAAATTTAACTTCTTTGAAAAACGTGGTCAAGTCCTCCTGGAGTAAATAAGTAAGATATAAAACAACTTTAGCCTGACAGTTTAATAGCATTAAAAATTCATCACTCCAAGAATAATCCCACATTGGAAGTTGGGGGGCATAAATGTCAGGCAAAACAGTGTCAAGCTTTAAGGCAGAGTTTCTGTGTAAGAACACAAAATATTGTTCCTCCAAAAAAGTTTTCTCATTGATGCTGTTGGGCAGACTCTCCTAAGCGTCAGTCAGCAAGTCATCTGGATGATTCAATCATAACTGTTTCAACCAGCCACCATTTGAGAAGTGTGGGCCTTGAGACATGAACATGATCAGCTGGATGCACGTTACTCTGCTCCTTATGTAGACCGTAGTCCCCCCTTAGCCACAGTTTTGCTTTCCATGGTTTCATTTATCCATAGTCAACCACAGTCTGCAAATATAAGTGGAAAATCTCAGATATAAACAATGCATAGGTTTTAAATAGACGCCGTTCTAATAGTGTGATAAAGTCTCACTCTCCCCTGCTCTCTCCTGCTCAGAACATAAATCATCCCTTCGTCTGGTGTATCCTACACTGTGGACACTGCCTGCCCATTAGTCACTGAGTAGCCGTCTCAGTTATCAGGTCTACTACAGAGGAATCACGGTGCTACATTCAAGTGGCTCTTATTTTACTTCATAATGGCCCCAGAGCCATAAGAGTAGTGATGCTGGCAATTGAGGTATGCCAAAGAGAAGCCGCAAAGTGCTTCCTTTAGGTGAAAAGGTAAAAGTTCAGGACAAGATATTTTGGGAGAGAGGGAGCGAGAGAGACCACATTCATATAACTTTTATTACAATATGTTATTATAATTGTTCCATTTTATTATTAGTTATTGTTGTTAACCTCTTACCGTGTCTAATTTATAAATTAAACTTTGTCATAGGTATGTATGTATAGGACAAAAACATAGTATATATAAGTTCCAGTACCACCCAAGGTTTTATCCACTAAGGGTCTAGAAACATCCCCACAGACAAGGGGGGACTGCTGTAGACTTAGGACAGGTGCAGAGACCCAAGAAATGAACAAGGCCATCTACTCGGGTGTGTGGGGAATGAAAATGGTAGAACTTCTGCTTATTTTATATCATTATTTTTAAGTTGATTCTCCCTGTATTATAGTGTGCATGGTGTATTAGTGCAGGAGTGCTTGTATATAACTTCTAAATAAAGACATGGCGTATGTAGGCGCACATGCTTAGATTTTTATTGATGGAGTCCTCAAAAAGCTGAGTCCACTGGTCTGAGGATCCCTTCCAGTGAGCTCTAATCAGGGGAAATGTGC